CCCTGGAGGTTTTATTCCCCTGAAATTATCTGCTGTGATGTTACAGGGCCAACAATAAACAGTTTGAATCCAGCGATTCATCAGAAATCTGTCTAGAAATCCGATGACACAGGTAGAGTTCTGATTGCCAAGCCTGGTTGGCTGGTAGAGAGATGGCATGTAGTGTGGGTAAAATGCTGCAAAACCCAAAGCTTTGACAATCATGTGATTATTCGGTTTGCTTTTTTGTTTTTTTGTTGTTGTTTTTTTACAGTGTCCTGTCTGGCAATGTGGCAATAAGAATAATTGTCTTGATTTCCAAAAAAGAGCCCAACAGATTTTGCTTTCACAAGTGGAGCAGTACGCCATAGTGTTCCGCTTGATTTATGCATATAAATTGCTTTATTATGATTATGCAGGGAGCATTACAGATTATATGGACACTGCAGTGTAAGTAGAACAGGTAAGGAAAAACAGGAAAAACGAGAAAAGATGAAAGAAAAATGAGATAAAAGGGAGACAATGATAAAACATCTTCAGTCTGCTTAATCACCTGCAAAGAGAGATGTAAAAAGAACAGCACAACCAACGGATATATTATAAGAGATAAAATCAAGTAGCACCTTGATACTATCGCTGAAGTAAAAGTAATATTATTTGATCTGACATGTATTTTGTGGTAGTTGCAGATAAGAATATGGGCTTCTGTATGGAAGTGGATCTCTAAGTACCTGGAAACAAGCACCTGTAGTTGTTTGTAAGAGCGCATTTGTGCATGTAAAATTTATCCAAAGGAAAAATGCTCAATAGTGGTTGTGAAGAGCCAAAGACCCGCCCCCTCAGAGCACTGAGGTGAGCACTGGAGGACCCAAAACCCCACACGCCCAAAGGGACCCCCAGAGCAAAGGCACCCAGGAGGGGCCAACCCAGGAAATCCACGCCCCCACCAAGAGAAGAGGAGAGCCAGCCCTGAGGAAGTCCCCCAGCCACCACAATGCCGAAGGCCCATGAGCCGCGGAGATGAACCCGTGGGCTCCGCCGGCAGCCAGCCACCCCGAAGTGGAACCGGCCATGGGCCCCGGGAACACCAGGCCAAAAAATGACAGTTTTCATCAGAAAACAATAAGTCGTTCAACCCTTATACCCATACTATCTATGTACATTCCAAAAGAGTTTCCAAGTTTGAAGACGTTTCACCTCCCATCCAGGAAGAATTTTCATTTCAAAATGTCAGAAATATTGTTGAGTTCCAAGCTTTATAGAGCTTAGAAAACATGCACATTGAACAGGAAGAACAGCTCCGCCTGTTAGGATGCAATACCCAATACTGGTCTATGCCTCTGAAAGGGAAGTTGTTAGGGGCATGTTGGCCTGGCTGACCAGGAAAGATGTCCT